TGTAACAATAAAACAGTGCAGAAAATGACCGAACTATTACAACTACCATGGCAGCTCTTGCGTTATTGGAAGACATAGCTTATGGAAGAATTAGAAGAGAGCGTGTATTCATTGATCATAGTGATTTCTTAGCCTATGATGATGACTGGCTTCTAAGTTGATTCAGATCTCCAAGAGAAATCCTATAGGAGCTGTGTGCTGAACTGGGGCCAGCATTACAAAGGCAGATGATGAGGAATTGCGCTATAGGCTACCTGTTCCTTTACAAGTTCTGTTCACTCGCGGGTTCTTAGACACAGGTGCTTTTCAGCGAGAACTTGCGGACCGATCGGGTATTTCTCAGTCAACACTGAGTCGCGCCATGCCGGCTGTATGGGACGGCATAATCCGCTTGTCACCCAGATATATAAAATTTCCTTACACTGTGGTTGAACAGGCAAAGATTAAAGCGCAATTTGCAGCGATGTCCGGTTTTCCCAATGTAATCGGAGCCATCGACTGCGCGCACATTGCTATAAAGGCACCTTCAGAGAATGAATTTGCTTATGCTTATGTAAATAGAAAGCACTTTCACTCTATTAATGTACAAAATATGTGCGATTTCAACATCTCATTACTGCATGGGCGTCGCCGGCATTAAATCTGAGAGGGACGTGTCCCCCTCACATTTCATGATTATTCGTTAGTTTTATGCCAGTGTGTCCCCCCCATTCAAAGTGCTTATGACGCCCCTGCATTAATGTTGTGACTAGATGGCCATTTTCAGAAACAGTAGTGTTGGAAACAAACTTGAAAATGGGGTGGTACGTGATGGCTGGCTGCTCGGTAAGAAGATTTTTCCCATTTTATAATTTGGCCCAATACCGTAAGCTTTGTTTGATTTAACCATTTGACAACTTAGGGGACAGTGGGTACCCACTGAAGTCGTGGCTTCTCACACCGCTCGCAAACCCAAAGAATGAACAGGAGCGGCGTTATATTCTGCCTCCCATTCTCTGGCTCGGGCGGTGGTAGAGCGCACTGTAAGGCAGCTTTAAGGCTGTTGGTGCTGCCTGGACAAGACTGCTGGGGTGCTGCTATACATGCAGTCCGCAAAAAGTGTGTCGCATTGTACATGCATGTAGCGTGTTGCATAATCTGGCACAAAATCGTGGCTTGCCGGTATCTGAAGAGCTTAGGCACGATGAACCTGACCCTGAGCCACCAAATTTTCCACCAAATGGAACAGCGTTACAACTTCCGTATCACACAGCGTATCATTTAGATGTTTTAATTCATTGGCAACATCTTACAGCATTCACAATTTCTTTTTGTGACTGCAGCACAGCTTCAGTCAGCACATGGCCGGATGGTCGCCATGTCATGGTAATTCATCAAATTACCATGCGAATGCGATTTGAATTTGCAGAAATTCGGCTATTTAGAATGTGAATAGCAATCTTCGGACAGGACATGATATCAGAATGCACGCAGAACAGCTGGTACGTTGGGAATACACATGCAGGTAACGAGGTGGCCGTGGCACATGAGAGGGCTGGACGGAGGGACGTGACAATACTGAGTTGCAGTTGAAATTAGACACTGGTGCTAAAGCTAATTGAATTACAATGGATGATTTTAAGAAGCTGAAATGGATGCCCTAATTATAGAAAAATCTGAAAATAAATCTAGCAACATACAATGGGCAAAGAATTGACAGTCTTGGTGTGTGTCAGCTGGAGTTACAGTTTAAGGATACCGTTCATGCATTTCCAATTGTGATGGTGCCACAGAGCAAACTTGCTTGGTGATATGGCCAGTGAAGCAATGGGACTGGTGAAATGTGTCTTTATGGTGGCACTTTATGGTGCTGACCTGGCTGAGGCAGTGCATGGGGCTGAGTACTGCAATCAGAAATTTCCAGGAATATTTGTTGGCATACTGTAGGTGTCTTGCCTTTGACATATAGCATTACAGTTGCAAGAAAAAGTATGTGAACCCTTTGGGATTACGTGGAGTTTTGCATGAATTGGTCATAAAATGTGCTCTGATCTTCATCTAAGTCACAACAATAGAAAAACACAGTCTGCTTAAAATAATACTACACAAACATTATATGTTGTCATGTTTTTATTGAACATAACATGTAAACAATCACAGTGCAGGGTGGAAAAAGTATGTGAACCTTTGGACTTAATAACTTGTTGACCGTCCTTTGGCAGCAATAACCTCAAGCAAACGTTTCCTGTAGTTGCAGATCAGACCTGCACAACGATCTGGAGTAATTTTGGACCACTCCTCTTCACAAAACTGTTTCAGTGTAGCAATATTCTTGGGATGTCTGGTGTGAATCGCTCTCTTAAGGTCATGCCACAGCATTTCAATCGGGTTGAGGTCAGGACTCTGACTGGGCCACTCCAGAAGGCGCATTTTGTTCTGTTGAAGCCATTCTTTTGTTGAATTACTTGTATG